GAATTGGCCTCCTCAGCCACACTAGATGCTATTCCAAATCCTCCGTACAGAGCATGTTACCATAGTCTCTCGAGACTGAAAGATGTCTAATCAGTCCAGTCGGCATCTGACCAGGAATCTTCTCCTTTACCTTCAGTGGTGAACAGAGCTGAAGAAGAGAGTGGTTACAATTTCCCCTTTGTGATCCCCTTTGTGATGCTTCTTATTCACACAACAATAACTTGGTCTTTAAGACCTTTGTAGAGAACTCCTTACAATGGGTAGCTTTCACTCTTGTTATTTGACTGCCTGCAATGTAACTTCTCTATTGCGAGTAACAGCAACAACAGACAAAGAACATGTTCCTGAAAGTCCTTGCCTTGTACAGGTCCCACTGCTTTCACCAGTTTGTAACTAGTCTTCACATATGGCTTTCTGGCAGATCTGCACATCAAAGAATTGAAAAACCCAAAATAAAATCTGCAGTTTCAAAACATACAAATAAACATATGCAAGAAAAGACAGCTTGAACACCAAGATGGCCATCATCACACTTTGGTCCAATGTATTTACAGTGTCATTAAAATGCACTTATTGACATGACACTTTGGTGCACCTCCAAATGAGCTCATTGTGGTGAATTATACAGTCCTCTAGAAAGGATTTTCTTAATTACTGCACAGGAGGTGCCTAACATATTCATATTCCACAACAAACTAAGCATTATGGAAGCTTGCAGAATGGAATGGAAAACTCCCACCAGGCTTAAAGTACTTACGGCTATCTCTTTTCTTACTTAGTTTAATAGCAAGGCTTCAGCCCATTTAAAAATATTGTGACCAATTAATCATTTTTTTAGTAACTTAATCTCTGGATCAAATTTGCATATATGATTATTTATAGGCAAAAAACAGTACAGTATTTCTAAATTCAGAAGTCCACTTCAAAAATATGCTATATAGTATAGTACAGTACAATATATGGGACATGATGGTACTGTGGGTTAAACCAGAGAAGCCTGTGCTGCAGGTTCAGAAGACCAGCAGTTGTAAGGTTGTATCCATGCGACAGAGTGAGCTCCCGTCGCTTTGTCCCAGCTCCTCGCCAACCTAGCAGTTCGAAAGCATGCAAATGCGAGTAGATAAATAGGTACCACCTCGGTGGGAAGGTAAAACGACGTTCCCTAGTCACACTGGCCACGTGACCACGGAAACTGTCTATGGACAAGCACTGGCTCTACGGCTTGAAAACAGGATGAGCACCGCCCCCTAGAGTCAGACACAACTGGACTAAAAATGTCAAGGGGAACATTTACCTTTTTATAGTACAATATATAATATCTTAGATCGGGTTAGCCAACTTGCCACAAACCAAATCCACTAGTGGATTGACCAATGCCACTGAAGTTCAGCTGCTATCACTGAAATTCAGAGACTTGCAGTTGCCACTATAATCTGGTGGCAAATAGGGTGACTCTCTATGGTATAGGAGAGTGCTAGAATGTCTTCCCACCCAACACTGCTTTGTAAACAAGTAGAAAGGGTAGAGAGTGCCCCTTCTGGAAGAAGAGAGAAGACATACAGGAAATGGCTTGGTGGCAGGGCAAACTTTCAGTACCATAGCTCTAGAGATAATGGGAAGGAAGGCACTACAAAAATATTGGAAGAGTAGGGACACCACAGGGCACATGTTTGCCTACTCCCATCTTAGATTATACTTGCCTAGAAACTGCTGTTGTATTTTTAGTCAAATAAGAGTTTAAATGAGTTGATTCAACCTCGCTGTCTGAGTTCATCATGTTCATGAATGGGAGTTAGGCCTTGGGGATGCAAGTAAACACTCTTGACTAATGTAAAGTTCAACAATCTTACTACACACCTAATTGAAGTAAGCATTGTTTTACGTTTCATATGTGAAAATACCTTTATAACTCCATCCTACATGGCGCAGCTACACTTAGTAAGTGCAAAAAGATGAATGAGGCAATTAAGCCCTAACATATCACTGAGAGCAGATTTACACTGCAATGATAGTGAATGTCAGTCTCAATAGATGCATCATGGCAACAAAAGGGACAACAATTCCAGTGGACAGCAATGGGAAGAGAAAAGAAATGGGAGTAGGAGCAATGACAAGTGACAACTTACCTGTGCGCCACTACCTTTGGGTTATCATTGAACTGGTTATATTAGTGTATATATATCTATGCACTATCTACACATTTATGAATACTTAGTAGTGGTTTACAATTGTTTCTTCTGAAGGCAGCCTGGGACAATGCAGTTGTCAAGGCTACACAGGCTGGCTCTTCTGTAGGAAGCACAATGGGGAACTGAAATCTCAACTTCTGGCTAGAGATGGGCACATATCAGAAAAATTGTGATTTGTTTTGATTCATGATTCATCAAGGGCGACAAATCACAAATTATAAATTTATGAATTTTTTTCTGATGAATCGACGAATCAGTCAACTCATGTTTTACTTTAAAACCCCTATAAAATAGTCACCAACCACCTAGAGACACCAAATTCACAAGAAAGCTTCCTTTGACTCTTCTCTACAAGCCGCGTGAAGTTTCAGTTTCGGATATCTGAGTTATATACTCGCAAGCAGGGCCTCACAGGAAAAGTTTTCCCCAGGTACCTAGAGACACCAAAAGCACAGCATAGCTTCTACTGACTCTCCTCTACAGTCTCTTCAAGTTTGATGAAGATTAGGTTTCAGATTTCTAAGTTATGCACTCATTAAGAGGGTCCACCAGGAAAATGCCCTTTAGCAGTTGGCTTACGCGCAGAAGCAGGGGGGGGGGGGGTAGTAGAGAGAGTCATGGGAAGCTTCCCTGTAACTTTCATGTTTCCTGGGAGCTGGTTTATAGCCAAATCAATCAACTTGCTGAGGTATCCAGCTCGCTTACCTTAGGGTCACCCTGTATTCTTCTCTAAGCATTTCCAAAGGGACCTGAACTCACTGATAACAACATGGCATAAAAGCTGAAAATGTCTTGTCGATGTGCTTCTAAAAATCTCTTCAAACAGTAATGTTTAAAAGAAACTCACTGTAGCTCAGCACTAGAGATGGGGACGAATCAAAAAATGGCGATTTATTTTGATCTGTTATTTATCAAGGTTAACAAATCAGTGATACAAATATATGAATATTCTTTGATGAATCGATCTGTTGATTTGTCTGCACTTTAAATGGCTATAACACAGGCCCCTGATGACCTAGAGACACCAAATTGTAGGGAAGTTTCCTCAGACGCATTTCTGCAACTCCTGAAAGCTTAGTGAACATTGGATGGAGTTCTATTCAGCCACAGCAGAATGAGAGGGCCCTTTGGCAGAGGCACGCATGAGGGATCGAGTTTGTCTTCAGCTCAGAACAACATTACATTTGCCAGTGAAGTAGAGTTTGCCCTCAGGAGGACTCGAGGCAAGGAGGTATTTGGCAGCACAGCAGGTTTTTTGGCTCCGTTGGGCACTGAGGAAGTTGGCAGCAGGAAAACAGGCTCTTTTGGCCCCATCAGGCACTGAGGGAAAAGGTAGCAGGAAAGCAGTGGTTTGGGGCCACATCGGGGCACTGAGGGAAAAGGCAGCAGCAAAATACTCCTGCCTCTCACACAGCCGGCGGGCAGCTTTCAGGCTGTGGGAGAAATGGCCCACCAGTTGGCAGCATTGCTCCAGGAGTGCCCGCATCTCCTGGGTGCCTGCGCCCCACTCGGGCTTGACATGTGGCTTCCCAGGCCAAGGGCATCACGCACCACAAGGTGTAATTTGTGCGCCATGCATACAAGGCAACTGTTCTCACTCTGGAGAGCACGAACAAAAGTGGGTAACAGCCGGACAGGAAAAGCTTATATGAAGCATCTGTAAAAGTAGATACACCTTTCAGCAGCGCTATTGGCTGCCGGACATGCCAATCCAGGATCTCTGTCCTAATTGGCCAGAGCTTTGAATTGGCACCAGCAAGCTCAGAGAGGCCCCAGAGAGGAAAATAACACATTTATTCATCCTGATTTAAAATTTTACAAATATGCATCAACGAATATATGACGAATCAAATATACGTATTCATCAGAAAAATTGATATTTTTTTCACCAGAGCACAGAGTGCTGTCCTCTGAAGACTGGCTAAACACTGCTGCAGGTCAGACATGCAATTCAACAGCTGGCCCTGACAGGGCAAGGACAACTCTACAGCTTCTGTGGCATTCAGAAGCCCGTTCACTGTTGATTTGTTCAGCCATGAGGGACACCGTTTGTTCATTTACTGCCATTGCGTATCTTTTTACTTCATTGCACAGAGAATGTGGATTTGGGGGATTTTCAATATGATACTGATCTGGTTGTTTTTAATTAGGAAATATATGAATGGTGTTCGTTAAAGACGATTTCGGCAACCTACGGCATTAAGTGATAAAATTACTCGCATTCTCTTTTTTCACCTTGTTGCTTCTTTTGTCCTCCAGCTGGTGGAATTTTACAGAAGGGCTGCCGTTTGGTGTTGGTGCTGTTTTCCTTTGATACATTTGAGAAGGCAGGAGCGAAATGATCACCAAATGCTACACTTCTGTTCGCTTCAGCCAAGGGCATAAAAATACGACTATGATTTTCAGCCCCTGAACCTCCTACACCGAGGGAGGTCTGCCCCTGGTTTGCAGAAGTGGACACTTCTAAAATCATCCGTTGTTTAGACCCAACTGTAGTAGCAGCTGCTGATTCTGGAAGGTTCTTATTTCCCTCTCCATCCGCTCCATTAAAGAAAGAGGTTGCCGGAGTTGTTATGACAATCTGGGAACTTGCTCGACTCCCACCATCTGTGGCTGGATCAGTTTCACTCGTCTCTGGGTCCTGATCAGGGGGAACAGTGGAGGTTTGTTTCGCCTCCACTGCTTCAGCCGCACCACCGAGCGACTCTGCTGTGAGCAGCTCATGGGGAGGGAGGCTGAAGATGGTGGTCGCTCTCACTGGGCCCCAGAGGACAGTAGAGAGCAGAGCTTGGATTAGGAGTACACAAGGCATGCCTGAAATGGGCAGAATGAACAAAATCAGTGGGGTTGAAATAAATCAGCTGCAAATAACAGAGAATGCTCTTTATGCAGGCTTACACTGATGAGGGGCCTCACTGATACATTGCTTTCATTATGTCAAGAATATTAGCTTCAAACCTACAAGCATCAGCATAATGGGCAAAGCTTCAATCTTGGACTAATAATAGAGTGCTCTAATTCTGCTGGGCCATGAAACTCACTAGGCCGGCCTAAATTATACTGCAGGACTGTCATAAAGAATAAAGTGGGATGATCCCCTTGGGCACTCTGGAGGAAGTGTGGGACACACGTGACAGTCACAGTGCTGTGGTGGACAGAATACTAGCATGGGCCTTGGAAGACCAAGGTTCTGGACCCCGGCGAGCCATGGAAGTCCATGGGTGACCTCCTAATGCTCAGTCATGGCTCCAGTGCTTACCACATGTTGCTGCTTCATGCTTTTTCATGCCTCACTGATGGTAGGAGAGTGTGTTTTGTGGGTTTTACCCTTCAGTTTTTTGTTTGTTTGTAAGAGTAACTAAAAAGTAACTACTTTACTTTTGAGAAATGGCTAAGCGAAACATTTATTTTTAGACTGTCATCATAATCACAACTAACTACTTTTGTGGCCTTGGAACTATAGTTGTAACTAAGTGCTTTTTAAAAGTAGCTTTCCACATTCTGGATACTCTGCTGAATGCACAAGAAACCAGGTTTCTCTGCAAAGATAGCAATTTGCAAAGGCAACAGAATCAGAAAGAGAAAAAAGTAAAGCTTGGTTAATAACTGACTTTTAAAAACTGGGAACTAATAATTGGTGCAGAAGTCTTGTGAAAGAACCTAGTATATTTTAGAGTTTAAGAACCTGGTCTACAGATTTGAGGTCCTTGACTGAAATGTCAGCATCTGGCCACTAGTTTTCAGAGTGGCTTCAATACATCTTCTGCCTTTGAAGACCAAAATACACATTCATGTGCATGCATCTTCCTGCTCTTACAATGTTTGCTGCCCTTTGCTATGTGTGTCTTCAAAATCATTCAAGAAATAATTGTTTGAGAAATAATGCTGACACTCACTCTTCTTTCAACATGGTTTAACAATTATTACCTTTTCAGCACTAGAGGGAGCACTCCTTCTAGAAACAGATATGCCCCAATGTGACACCCATTTTCAGCCCCATATGAGGCTGATGATGATCATCATCATCACCTTTGAACTTCAGAGCTTGAAAGGACCTTATAGATTATTGAGTCCAGCCCCTCTCAAGGAGGCACAGTGGGGAATCAAACTCCCAACCTCTCCCAACAGAGACCTAAGCCAAATCAAACCAGTTCCCAGCCCTGAAGTTAGAAAAAGATGCAGATGATTAAATCAGATGCACTTGCAAATAAAACACACCAAATCCATTATATGAGGCCATTCTGGCTGGATGATTCTGGAAGCTGAAGTCCAGAAAATGAACTTCTCCAGCCTTTAAGACCAGTAATCTGTTATCATCTAACATGACTGAGACAAGGCGACTGGTACATAGTTTATCTTTGCTACCTTTGTACTTAATGTGAAGCTATAGGGAACATGGCATATTTTCCTTTTTTTGAATGCAATTTAATTTAAGAGGGTAATAATGTGATGACTGATGAATGGGACTAATCAATGGCAAAAATTTGGGATCAGAATCCAAACCATCTGGTGGGAAAAACTGATTGAGAAGAAACTGATTGAAAAAGCAGACTGGGATGATTTGAGCTGTGGAAATTAATCGAAGAACATAGCTAGGAATATAAATGGCATGCCTTCTCTGAAACCTGAATTCTAGTAATTAGTTACAAAGGTACATGCATATAAATTCACCTAGGGAAATACTATATACATTTCTGCCATCTTTTGTCCACTGGTGCCTATATGTTCTTCTTTTTTGGCAATGTGTAAGTGAATACCAAGATAGATATAGTCATGGACACTATACCCTTCCTAATTAGTGAAACAGAGGAATTATTAACCTTGTATTTTCTAAAATTCCATGCTTTAGTAGTTCTGGACCTGGACTTAATAAGTAGGACTAGCAACAAAATACTGTAGCCTGCACTAGTATTATTCAAGCCGGCTAATCTAGCTCCAAAATAAGCCCTTTCCAAATTACTCCATTCTTGCCTCCCCACAACCCCATTTTTCCATTCCCTGCAATAGCAGAAGACATTCATGCCAAAATCCAATTGCTAGTCCCAACTCAAGTAGATCCATTGCATCAGCTGCTGGATGGCAGAAGCTGCTGCTTATATAAATCTGTAGATCTAATCAAATGGACTCTAACAATATGGTCCAGGCCTTAGCCACTGAGCATGCTCTCTGGGTTTTGGGAGAAGATATTTCTTCAACACCTTAATTTTTTTCCAAAAAGCTTTCTGTGAGGAAAGATTCACAAGTGTGCTGATACCGCCATCTTGTGTAGACATGGAACCATATTGGCTGCATAAGAACTGATCCTTAAAAAAAGATTTCATCATTGGCATACAGAACTGAAGATAGCTAGTAGAACTCACAGTCAAATGTTTAAATCTTCATTGTGCCTCCCAGAAGCGAGGCCAGCTGAGATTATCACCCAGAGTATGTGTGGCTTATGGTGTTATGAGTCCTGGTACTTGTGTAGCTTTGGGCAAGCTCCATAGTCTTAGAACATTACAAGAAGGAGGGACTGATACACCACTCCTAAGTGCTTTACACCTAGAAACCCTTGAGAGAATTGTTGTGAATTAGAAGTGGTAACACATCATCATGATTCAGAACTGACAGATTTACACAAGCCACATTTGTCGAATATAACTTTGTTGTATTATGGAAGGAAAAGGAGAACCTGGTCTGTTTACTCCCCAAGTCTCTGTGTTAAGACAGAACATCTGGAAATGGAATGTGTGTTTTGTTGAACATGCATACACTGTTCTACAATACTAAGAACATGGAAGGGTCTGATATGGAGGTCTCCACATGGGACAGTACATTCCTGCTTGCCTCCTCATTTACAACAAATCCATGTCTGGGAAATACTGAAGGAGGGGCATGATTGATTGATTGATTGATTGATTGATTGATTGATTGATTGATTGATTGATTGATTGATTGATTGATTGATTTATTGATTTGTATCCTGCCCATCTGGTCTCCACACCAGTTTCAATACAGGGAGGATTATTTATTTATTTATTTATTATCCTGCCCATCTGGTATATTCTACCACTCTGGGTGGCTTATCCTATGTCTGGGGTTTTTTTCCTTAGATACTTTCACCCAGTCGCCCATCTCAGGGCCAAACTAAATTTTACAGGTGACCTGTCATCAGAGTTAAAATCACATTAATGTTGGAAAATGGGGCTGAGGCCATTGTTTCTGTCTAAGCAGTGTTACAAGGAAGAAAATGCTTGAGCTCTGAAGATCAATTACAAAGAAAAGCAAGTTAATTTGCAAGGTAGAGAAGGTGAGAAAAGCATTCACACACATTCAATTCCTAAGGAATTCTCTCTTCTAGTGATTGGTTATTTGCAATGTACAAAAGGACTGTTAGTCTAGCATCCTGTTGTCTAAATGTAGAGTGGCAGGAAAAAACTTTCTCCCCACTCCACTGAGTTCCCCATACTTCTGCCCCTGGATGCAAGATCAGGCTCACAGCTGGTCATGCAAGCAGAAGTCTGGTGGAGGGGACAGATGCTTATGTGATTTCCTTTCTGTTCCATTTTTAGTCAACAGGATACTAGCCCTTGTCTCCTCCTGACTCAGCAGCCATCAGCTTTCTCTAATTTCATGGGTTCCTAACAGGCAGTTTGGAGAGGGAGAATTTGTGTTCCAAAATTTTCCTTTACTTTGAAAACTGACTGAGATCTGCATACCTAAAGAATTCTCCCAATAACACAGAAAGTCAGGGCAATGATACCTGGCTCTTTGAGGACCCTGTTTCACTTCCCGGCCCTATGAGCTGGCTATCAGAGGGAATAAACAGTGCCAGTGCCAACTTTACCATCCGCCCTCGTGAAGCAGTCGCTTCAATTAGTGGTGTGATGGGTTGGCAACAGTAAATGGGCCACTGTCCTGCCATGTCACTGCAGTGTCTGAAGCTGAGAACCACTGTCTCCCACTGCGACTGCCTAGCAAACAGATATTAAATGCTCTTTTCTTTTATGGCTTTTTCCAGCAGCAGGTGCCAAAAAAGAAGCAAGAGGAATGGTACTGCCAGAAACACAGGCCCAGTTCTCCACAAAGCTGGCTCCTTTTTGCAAATGTCAGTTGTGAGACGTACCCTCTGAACCAAGCTTTGAGTGAGGAGGTGTGGAGTCTCTGAATTCATGATAATCACGTCAGCACTGGAAGCGTGCTCAGCTAAGCATGCTTTAAAAGTCCTTTCTGTTGAACATGCAGCGATCTGAGAGACATCTGATGGGAGGCAACTCCAAGACAGTGTATCTCCACATTTCTACCACCCACTGAAACTTACAGAGATTCAACCTTTATGCTTTCACTAGCTTCCCAAACCTCCAACAAAATGGAACTAAGTCATGGAAGACAGTCCAGTCAATCACTGCCAACCTTTAGCTAAATCATCCCTTATATTTGCAGCAAGGAAAGGTCAGTCTTCTTATGTTAGTTTCACATGGGTTAGATCCTGAATCTGTTAAATCCTGTTTCCGTGTCAACCTGAATGTATGTTCAACACAACCTGCTTATTATTATTCTTTCACAAGATATTTTATTACATATAAATATGAAATTCTATTTGTATTTTATCCATAAAATATGCATGTTTGTATGCATTTTAAGCAAAAATATGCCTTTTAGATGCATTTTGTTGTGAATTACATAGCTTAAAGAAATGCAAAAAGCAGGGGATAACTGCATTCTTTCTTATCCATGTATTAGTCTGGGTTTAGGTAGAGCTAACTGGCTTCCTTAAAAGTGCAGACCAAACAAACATTTGCACTCAATATGCCTCCAAATACCAAATACTGT